CCTGGGCACACTGCATCCCTCTCGGGACTTTGTGCCCCCCCCCCGGGGGGGCACACACACCTCTAGGGTGTTTCCCAAACTGCTGGATCCAGGACAGGACTCAAACCGTAGTCGGCCATGGGGTCCAGCCACCTTAATCACCATGCCACAGGCTGGCCCAAGAGTGACCATGCCTTGATCCTTTTCTTGTTTTCCTTCCAATAAATCTAACAAATACCCGAGTGGGTGACCAAGAACAGAGCGGAACACTGGAGGCCTGGCAGGAGCATAAGGATCACAGGCCGACCAGACGGCTCGGTCCTTGCCTTCAGAAGGTTTCGATCTGCTCCCAGGGATAAAGGTAAGCCTATGAGGCCAACACAGAGCATGACGGTATGCTGAGAGAAGACGAAAAACGAAAGCAGCAAGTAGAACCTGTTGGCTCAGGAGGAAGGGAAGTCATCAGCCCCCTTAGACAGCAACTGCACAGAGCGGCAATCTGGGCTGGGAGACCACGAGCACAGAGGAAAGGCTGAACACCTACACACCAGTCCCACCGCCCGCGTGGCCTTTCCAGACGTGCAGGCTTGGTTCTCGGGGGAGGAAGCGGACTCCACAATTACCTAACTATTTCTCCCCTTGACGACCAGGCAGGTCTCCACATGGCAGCCACGTCCCCCGATGATTCGGAGGAGAGGCACGGCCCAGAGAGGCCGAGTGACTTGCCCAGGGCTGTCCAGCTACTTGTGACTGGAATCTCCAGCTCCCGGCCTCCCGTCGGAGACGCTCTGCCACAGCCGACTTGGTGACTACCGCCTCTCTGTTAGGGTCTGTGTGACTTTGGCAACGTATGTTCCCCTAGGGGTGTTCGTGCCTCCTCATTTGAAAACTGGGGTGGGGGCAGTCGAAGGGGGTGTGTTAGATGAAAAAGACACTTTCGGGTTTCCTGTCCATATGTGTGACGGCACCACCAACAGGGCTACCTGTGGAGACCGGCCCCGTGGCTAAGGGAGCCGGACCCTACGTGGCCCACCACACGTTCGCATCCCAGCCTGCAGGCAAAACACACCAGCACACGTGTGTGTGTGTGTGTGTGTGTGTGTGTGTGTGTGTTCGCGCACCTCGAGCCCTGACGGTATGGAGAAATGGAAGGGAAGGGCCCGTGGTGTGACCACGCCCCAGGTAGGGGTTCTCTTTCTCTCTCTGGAAAGTGCATGTGCTCCCTGGTAAACAGATGAGTGCAGTCCTACTACACTGCGGAGTCTTCTAAATGCTTCCCGCCATCAGCTCAGCTCACAGAACTCTAGCATAGACACTTTTCTTAATCCCCATCCTCCCCTCCCTTTTTTTTCTAAACAGCTCGGGAGGGAGGAAAACACTGAGGACACAGAAGACGCCTGCCCAAGTGGTAGGACGTGCCACCTGTACCCAGGCAATCTGGCTCTAGTTTGGAGTCTTCAACAGTATACGGCCTATCGCCGCAAATGAGGAAAGGGAGAGAAAACGCATCATTCTCATCACATGTTCATGTAATCGTCACAAGTCTTTGAGGCAGGTATCAACGTCCCTGTTGTACAAACAAGGAAACCGGAGCTCAGAGAGGTAGAGTGCTTTGCAGCTACTAGGACAGCCTGCAACGAAATCCAGATTTCTTGACTCAAAACCTAGTGCTCTGTCCACAGAACTGCCGTTGCATGCATTCTCTTTGAAGCACCTCCATTAAACAAATATTTCGGGGTGCTACGAAGCAACAGAAATGGGTACCCTTCTCCCCCAGCTGCTCACTGTCTAGTGGAGGAAACTGACAATCACGTGTGCTTTGCTGGGTCTGCACACACAAGGCAGCAGGGACGGAGGCAGGGCACACACATGACTAAGGTGGAGGAACAGCAGAGCATGGCTTCAGAGACACATGGAAACGGGTCAGCGGAAGTAAAAGGGAGAGTGGAGACAGCCTGGGCACCTGACAGTACTCTAACTGAAAGCAGGGCCAGCAGGGAACATGGTGGCTAAGGAACTGGATCCCATATGACCAACCATGCAGCTCAAGTCCCAGACCCAGCAGCCTGAAAAACATGTTGGGTGCATGTGTATCCAAACCCAAAATCTTCAAAGGAGAATTGGGAAGGAAGTGCAGCCTGGCCATCCTCGCTGGGGGGAGTTTTTTCACTTTCCCTCTCTCTATTTCTTTCCAGTGAACACACAGGCCCTATAGAAAATTATTTTAAAAATAAAAATAAAAATCATTGAATGTAATCTATAAGCCTAAGGCACAAGAGGCTCATGGGGATGTGTTAAGAGCCAAGCAAGGGACAAGCAGTTGGCGTAATGGCTATGTTACTGGACTCCCACGTAGTTGACTGTGGCTCGAGTCCCAGACCTGGTGGCTTAAACTCACGTTGGGTGCGTGTGCATGTGTGCCCAAGATCCCGAGAGGCGAATGGAGGAGAAGGGATTGCGGCATGGACACCCCCTCGGGGGGGGGGGCGTATTTCTCGCTTTCTGACTCTCTCTCTCTCTTCTGGAGAACACACATGCCCTATGGCAAAAACCTCTCAAATAAAAGAAAAAAAAAAAAAAGCCAATCATGAAGGGCCCAGAGGACCATGCAAAGGAATTTGGACGTGATGAATTTGGGCCTGATCGTGAGGGGAAATCTATTCAAATGGAGTAGGTGGGTAACCCTGGATGCAGGGTGCACCAGGATGGAACTTACTGGCTCATGACAGCCTCAATACTCCAGGCCTAGCCCCTGAAAATCCACAGGGCTCGGCTGGCTGGGCAGAGCAGCAGGGACAGCCACTCGAGCAGGGCAGGACCCACACCCAAGATGGAGAGTTTGGCTTCCCAGCTGATCCCCACGTGCCAGGCACAGCACTTGTGCCGCTGGCTGGCCGGGAAGGCTGCGGGAATCACAGCATGAGAGCTGCTGGAGGCGATTCTCTCTCATTTACTCTCATGGAGCAAATAAAAAGACTTTGAAAAGAAAATCTGTGGGTGGTGTGGTGGTTAAGGCGCTGGATGCCTACAAGGCCCACCACAGTTCAAGTCCCAGACCCTGCTGTTTAAAAATCATGCCTGGCATGCATGGGTGCATGCCCAAAATCCTGAGAAGGGAATGGAGAAGAAGGGACCGCACTGCAGCCATCCACTGAGGGTTATTTCTCTCTCTCTCTCTCTCTCTCTCTCTCGTAAGTACACATGCCCTATAGCAAAAACCTAAAAAACAAGAAACAACAAAAATGTATGGCCTGGGGGAACCAGCAGTTAGCATAATGGCTATGTCGCTGGACTCCCACGTAGTCGACCACGGTTCGCGTCCCGGACCCGGTGGCTTAAAACTCCCGCCGGGCGCGTGTGCGTGCGTGCCCAAGATCCCGAGAGGAGAATGGAGGAGAAGGGATTGCAGCGTGACCATCTCCCCTGGGGGGTGATTTCTCGCTTTCTGTCTCTAAGTCTCTCTGTCTGGCGAGCGCACGCACCCTATAGTGAAAATCTCTCCAAAAAAAAAAGTATGGCCTGGATGGTAACCATAATTCAAAATTAAGCTACAGGAACCGCATTTTAAGTGAGTCACCTCAGACAATCAAAAGCTCACATCAGAGGGGCAGCAGGATGGCGTGGGGGTTGACGTGGCTGGATCCCCTATGGCTCCCAGAGGGGGTCCAGTGCAAAAAAAAAGTGCCAGACCCAGAGGCTTGAAAACACATGGGTGCATTGCGTGTATGTGTACCCAAAATCTAGAGAGGAATTTGGAGGAGAAGGGTTTGAGGTGTGGCCACTCCCCTTACTTTATCCCCTTCACTGTCTCTCTCTGGTAAGTGCACATGCCCTATAGCAAAAAAAAAAAAAAAAAAAAAAGAAATCACTTCATAAATCATAAATCGTCCTCCTCCCTAAGGACCTGCCACCCAAGCCCTTCTCATTGTGCTGTCAGGCTCGGCCAAGGGGCTGCTATTTGGAACGTGCTTCCCTAATACATCAGTTTCTGCCATCAACACCTCAGTTATTCAGTACATAAAATGGGCACGATGCACCCTATTTGTCTCAAATAAATACCAGAAAGATGATAAATGGTTGCGGCATGTGAGGAAAAAAAATATGAAGTGAAAGTAGGGAAATGTGAGTTCTGGTACCTACCCTCCCGCACAGAAGCTACGCAGCTTTGGAAAAACCATCTCATGTCTCCATTCCTCAGAAACGATATGCAAATAAGACACGTGATCTGCACCAGCCGTCGTGTTATCTGCCATAGATCCTGAGGATCCTGAAGGGACTACATCATCGCCTCTAAGATGTGCATTCTCCCTCTGTTTTAACATCTCCGACATTGGGATGCTTCGGTAAAACAGATGGTGGGTCCTAGCTTAACCAGGTATTTTTCTTTCGTAGGGGTAGATAAGATAAAATCTTAAAATCAATGACATCTTGGGACCAAATCCGGTGGCTTAAACTCACGCCGGGCGCATGTGCGTGCGTGCCCAAAATCCCAAGAGGAGAATGGAGAAGGGATTGCAGCATAGCCCTCCCCCCTGGGGGTGATTTCTTGCTTTCCATCTCTCTGTCTCTGTCTCTCTGGCGAGCTCAAGCACCCTGTAACAAAAACCTCTCCAAAAAAAAAAACCCAATGACATCTCGGGTTTACTCAAACACGAGTTACCATT